GTGATAGGCCCCAAATACAGCCCAAATTTTACTTGAATTTGAGATAGGTAAGTTGCATTTTTATGCTTGTGCGATAATCTCCCAAGCCTACTGTGCCAACAATATTTTCTGTATACAAGTTGAATAAATAAGGTGATAGTATACAACCTTGCGTTACCTCTTTGCCGATTGGAACCATTCTGTTCTCTGTATTCTGTTCTAACAGCAGCCTCTTGTTCTGAGTTAAGGTTACACATAAAGATGATCAGATTTTGTGGAACTCCTATTCTTCTAAGCAGTTGAAGGCTTTGTTGTAGTCAATAAAGCACATGCAGATTTTCTTCTAGAATTTCCTGGTGCATTCCATTATCTAACATATGCTTGCACTGTGATCCCTAGTACCTCTTCCTTTCCTAAATCCAGCTTGCGTTTGTGCAATTTCTCACTCCATATATGGTTAGAGTCTTTGCTACAGAATTTTGAGTATGACTAGCAAAATGACTACAGGTTGTAATTCCTTTTCCAGAATTCCAAAACCTGAAACATTTCAAAACCCAGTTTTTTTTCCCCATGGGTGGCTGAGATAGTAACAGCTTTGTTCTCTGATGGTTCAGTGTACACAAATTTTTTTTCATGCACAAAATCATTGAAAATGTTGTATAAAGTTACCTTCAGGCTATGTGTAGAAGGTGTATATAAAACATAAATGAATTTTGTGTTTAGACTTGGGTAGCATCTCTAAGATATCATTACATACGTATATGTAGATACAGGTATTCCAAAATCCAAAACACTTCTGGTCCCAAGCATTCTGGATAAGAGAGAGTCAACCTGTATAACATGTTTTTAGAAGAAGAAGAAGAAGAAATAATAATCAGCCAGCACTGACACAGCAAGTAGGAACAGCCCTGGTGGGCTCCAACATGCCTGTGCTGCAGCTTTCCTATCACCTGCAGCTTTTTGCATGGTAAGATGAAGTATGAGCTGTGAGGCCCTAAAGTTTGACTTCAAGGTCTAGCTGAACACTCTGCTTTTATATATTTCTAGGGAGAGATTCTTAAAAAGAGGAATATGTCCTTTCTCTCCAGTGCAGATGCATGCATCATGGGCTTTATGTGTAGGTTCACACACAGAGACACACACACACAACACAGATATTATGCAGGTAGCTGTGCTAAGGAGCCAGGATTAGCCTCACTTCTCTGCTATGCCTATACTGTGTGTACGTAATATGACAAACATGACAGCCTAGCTTAAGGGCTATTGTCAGTTAAACCAAATAGCATGGATTAGAGCATTTTCTTATGACACATACATATACAGCCTTCTATGTTATTTCTGTAGCAATGCTAACTGATTATTGGCAGAGACAGGATACTGGGTAAGACCAGATGAACTTTTTTTCTTTCAATAATATTTTGTTTATATAATACCAATTTAAAGAAAGGAAGATTAATCATTGCACAATATAGCACATACAGATTTTAGAGGTAAATGAAATCCAACAAATAAGTGAGGCATCCAAGTCAAATTAGCCCAGAAATCATTCATCCAAGAGAGATTATATTTTATATAAATCTTTCCATAGCAGATGGACTGTTGAGCATACCCAGTATATTGTTCACCCCAAATGACTGAGACTCTATGGAGGGAATTGTGAGGCCCTCCCGATGTGGTTGGATTGGAAGTCCCAGCAGCCCCTAGCCAGAATAAACAATGGTAAGGAATGCTGGGAGATGTGGTCCACTAACATTTGGAGGGCTGTATGATTCCCACTGTGGTCTGTGAGATACTGTTAAATAACTCTAATGTTCATTTTAGCCTGATGATGTGATAGCCTTCAGAGTTCAAATCCCTGCTCATCTTTATAATCCATTATCATACAGCTAATCTAAGCTTCAGGTTTTTATCACTACTCTTCATTACCAGGTGGGATTTCCTTCCACCCTTGGTGATAAGTAGGGTAAACCTCCTTGTGGAGAGTAATTTAAAAGCAGCCTAAAGAAGGCTGTCTCCACTTTGGTGGGCACCAGGTATGCCCAGAACACTACCATCCTCAATGACACAAAAACCATGGATGCAAGATCCATGTGGACAGAGGGAGAGAAAACAGAACAGGTGTATACCTATACAAGAAGCACAAGAAGAGGCAAGTAGCAGGATGCATATTACAAGCTGCAATAATCTATACAGGAGTGAGAACTATGTGGCCCTCCAAATGTTACTGGACTGCAAATCTCAGCAGCCCTAACAAGCACAGCAAATAGTGAGGAAGACTGGGAGTTGCAATCCAGCAGTCCCTAGAAGGCTACAGGTTTTTCACTCCTGCTTGATTTCCTGATCAGACATTTCAAAATGAACATTTCAAAAATAAGAACAACAGGAAATTGTGGTGTCTAAGGAATGGTATGACCTGAAATACAAAGCATTCATTATGTGCTGACAGTCTTCAATATCCTCAGATTAGGTTGATTTTCTTCCCAGAAATGGTAATGAAATTCCTACCATTTAGGACCATTTTTTTTGAATGAAAGATGAAATCCTCCAGATTGTGTCTAAAAAAGCCTCAGAAAATGTTGCTTGATCAGCATCTTGTGAGATCACCAGGTACCCAACATCTGGTGAATGCTAGTGAATCATGATGGTTGACTTATGTCACAGAGTGCTTGCCATGAATGAATAACCAAAAACATGAAATACACATACATGATCTTTCACAAAAACCCTTGCTTAGTACCTGTCTGTAGTTGTACTCTAGTTACCTCTTGGCAAGAGATCTTGGTTACATGAGATATATGAGGCTCCACATGAAAACCATTGGGGAAACTTCCATGAGTGCAGCAGAAAGCTGCTGCTAGAACTTTGAGAGAAAATACTTGGAACATTTACAGATTCCATTTAGCTGATCTTTTTTGCAGAATCAGTTGCATGAGGGCTGTCAGTCCAACTCAAGGTGCTAGTTGAAAACTCAGGACATGAATTTTTGAAGTGCTGCCTCTTCCCTTGCATGCCTCTAAGACCAGCTATTGTGCTCCTTTTGCCCATGTTGCTGCCAGGGCTAGCGCAAGGTATGATGTTGACCTATGAATCCCAGAATCCTCCAGCCATTGTAATTAAAAAAAAAAAAAGCTTTCCAAACTCTGGCAGTGGGCCATACAAAAGAAACACAGCAGCTGACCTGAAAGGATGGGCAGCTTCACAAGAGAGAAGGCAGATCTTCTGAGTTCTCCTCATGGCAGAAAGCAGTGGGGCTGGGGATATATAAATCAAACACAATACACATATATGACAACCTGCATCTGCACATGCTGGCTCTCCACTCCAGGAAGGAGAGCTCTCTTGTTGCAAAGGGAGATGGGTTTTCCTAGATATCAGTCATCCTTGAGTTAAAGTACAGCTAGATCTAGTCTGGAAGCATTTTTTAAATATATATATATATATCTCCCAGAAGATTCTAACCAGCTTGGTCAGTGGCTGTTACATTCAAAGATATGATTGGTGGTAACATGTTATGTTGACTGGGGAATTCTGGGAGTTGTATTCCAGAAAAATTAACATTTCCAAGCTCTGGAAAGTCTTTGCCCAGCACCATCCTCTTTATATGTGTTCCACCTGCACGTAAAATAAACATCTCTCTCTCTCTCTCTCTCTCTCTGTAATCTGATAATTTACTTTCCAACAAGAATATCCAAACAATTGACTGCCAAAGGCTAGCTCTTACACTTGGCCTGATGTTAGGACTGCCCTAGAGATAGGGATTATGATGGAAATAAACCATTGTTCGACAACAGGCATTCACTCTGTCTGCCAATATTAGCTCAGTGGTACAGATGAGTGAGCCATTGGGGATGTTATGGGAGAAAGAAAAGTGCTATTGTTAAGAAAGTTCAGATGCCAACAATGCTGTTAGTGACGTATGCAGGTATAATTCCACCTGACACATGTGTAAGTAATTTTTGTTTTGTCATGGAAGAAGTTGTTAGTCTCTCCTTACCTCCTCAGTGACCACAAATTCCCCAGCACTGTTGCTGTGATAGCCACCTCCAATGGCCATTCTATGACTGATGGAGAGTGGAAGCAATCAGGAAAGCGTCTGGATGTCTTCCCACAGCCAGAAGCAGACACATGGCCTCATCTCCTGATACCTCTGCTGGACTCCAGTGAATCTTGGTGGAAGATGTCCTCAGTCTGCATCTGACTATAGGGACTTAATCAGATGCTGCTCCAATCCTTCTGCTCTCCCTCAGCAATGGAATGGCTGTTGGGGGTTATTGCAGTGACCTAGGGTTCATTCACACTGCAGAACTATCACACTCTTATTCCACTTTGTTTCATTCTGTGGAATCCTGGGATTGGCACTTTAGGGATGGGCCTTTAAAATTCTCAAGCAGAGTCCTCCAACCCTATGATTCCACTGGATAATAAAATGGCATTTAAAGTGGCATAATTGGAGCCAGTGTGGTGTAGTGGTTTGAATGTTGGACTACGACTCTGAGCACCCAGGTTCAATTCCCTGCTTGGCCATGAAGCCCACTGGGTGACCTTGGGCAAGTCACATTCTCTCAGTGTCAGGGGAAGGCAATGGCAAATCCCCCCTGAAAAAAATCTTGCTAAGAAAACCCATTTTAGGGTCGCCACAAGTCGGAAATGACTGGAAGGCACACAACAACAATAGTGCTATAATTGCGTAGACTTGAACTGGCGCCCTGAGAATGGTAACAAGGGAGCCATAGCAAAGTTCTGCCCATACAACTCTTAGCCTCCATGCAACCATGTAGTGTCTAGGGGCCACAGTCTTCATTTTTTGCTCTTTCCTAAAACATCCTTTGCTGACTGATGGTGCACAGGCAGCTGTGATTGACCTTAGTTGACTCTTATGTTTATCTGTTTTGTAAACAAGGCTCTTTTTAAAAACAGTAATGTGGTAGCTCAGTTCAGGAGAAATTTACAAGTGTGCAGAAGTACACTCATGCACCTTCTCCACATGTTTGTGTAAGAAAAATGTCCAGTGCAGAGCGAAGGGAGACGTTAACTTGATAGGTCACTGTTGCCATCCAGAGGCTAGTATCAGCACTACAATCCCATTACAGGATGTGACCATTGGGAGCACTAATAAGTGCAAGGATCAATGGATCTCCCAGGAGTTTTACTCTCCAGATGGATCTAGCATGATACATGTCAGGCTTGAAAAGGCTGCTCTAAGGGACTCTCAGCCAGCAGGCATCCCACTGATATTTGCATAATACACCAGGCAGAATAATGATTTTGCAGAGGATTAAATTCAAGTATAAGTGTAGAAACAGAGCGGAGGAAAATCTGACTGAATCATTAAAGTGCACTGTCAGGACCTGCCCTAACATTAGGCAGAGTAAGATGGCTGCCTCAGGCAGCAGTTTTTGCGTGTTAGGAAAAAGCAGCCAATTGCTAGTTTATTTTCTGATTCTGGTATTTTTATTGTCAGAGAGGGGAAGAAATGATTGTGGGATTTTTTGCCTCATGAAAACAAAACAAAACAAAACAAAACATGCTTCATGAAATTCAAAAAGGGTTTATTTTCCCCCCAGCCATGATCTTTGCAGAATCCCTCTTGTGTAACCCTCGTGTTCCAGGGAACCCCCCTTGAGAAACGCTGGGTTAGACAGATTGCTACCTTTAGTTCGTGGAGGATCTGAGTTACTAATTAGAATATAACTACAGGATATTTTAAAACTCATGTTGCTGAATTGTGAAATGGACCACATATAGAGCCTGGATGGCCATCTGTCAAGAGTGCTTTGATTGTGTATTCCTGCATGGCAGGGGGGTTGGATTTGATGGCTATGGTGGTCTTTTCTAACTCTATGATTCTATGAGTATCTATGGGGGGTTGCAGACTGCCAGAAATAGTGCAAATTGAGTCCACTTTTAGGGTTAGGGAATCATGGGAATTGTTTTTTTTTTTTCTGAGACATTGAACCTTCTCTGTCAGAGAGCTCTGGTGCCACAATAAACTACAGTTCCCATGATTCCCTAACCCTAAGCCTAAGCCTAAAAGTGGACTCAATTTCTGGCAGTGTATGAGTAGATTGGCTATCTTAAGATACCATGTGCTTTCACTAGTGTCTCCAAGGGGCACCATTTTCTGTTCTCTCTCAAGCAGCAAAATGTCATGGGGTGCTACTTTTTTCATCCTCCTCCCCTGATCTGAAAGGGGCAATAAGGGAGACCCTGAAACTGAAAAAACAGTATGAGAAACAATGGAAAAATATGCTGCGAAACAGATCCACTCTATATTAGCTAAAGCAGCCCCATGCAACAATAGTTTTTATCTGATAGGCTCTGATCTGCTCCCTGGTTAACACCATCCTCCTTCTCCTGAGTCTTCATAAGACAAGATAAGAAAGGGAAGGCTTATTGAAATTTTGCTGATTCATATTTCTTTCCCAATGGAAGATGAATGGGACTGCTGGTATTTCATCAATCTCATTCATCCTCGGCACTGTCTCTATTCAGCACCTCCCGGAAGATACAAATTATTTCTTAAAATTTGTTTTTAAATTTTTAAACTTTCATTGTTAAGTTTGTAACCAAATTTATCTGTAAGCCACCTTGGTTCCCTTTCCAGGAGACAGGCACATATAAATAAATTATAAATAATAAAAATAAATAATTTTCTGCTTTACAGATTTAAAAACCAGGGTCCCTAACTGTGTTAGGGCATCCCTCTCTCTCTCTCTCTCTCTCTGTGCCTTCAAATCACCTGTCAACTCATGGCAATCCCATAAATTTCATAGAGTTTTCTTAGGCAAGGAATACAGTATTCAGAGGTGCTTCTGCCCATTCCTTCCTCTGAAATATAGCCTACAGCACCTGGTATTCAATGGTGATCTCCTATCCAAGTATTAACCATGGCTGACCCTTCTTAGTTTCCCAGATCAGATAGGATCTGGTGCCTTAAAAATATTTAGGCCCCAATCATACCATGTGATATTGCTGTTGATATTAATTGTCATCAATCTGGCTTTCATTTTATGGCAACCCTATGAATGAGAGACTCCCAAGAGCCCTGGTCATCAAAAGACCTGCTCAGGTTTCTTGCATATACAGAGCAGCCCTGGCTTCCTTGGTTGAATTGATCCAGTTGTAATGCAGCCTTCTTTCCTTCCTACTCCCTTCTATGTTAAGAGCCAGCATGGTGTAATGATCTAAGCATTGGCCTATGACTCTGGAGACCAGGGTTCAAATTTTGGCTCTGCCATTTAAGCCACTGGGGAACCCTGGACAAGTCACACTCTCTCAGCCTCAGAGGATGCCACGGCAAACCCCTCTCTGAAGAAACCTGCCAAGAAAACCCCATGATAGAGTTGCCTTAGGGTCACCATAAGTCAGAAACAACTTGGAGGCACACAACAGCAACTTCCTTCCTTCCTACTGCCTTCTATGTTACTAAACAATATAATCTCTTCCACTGAGGCATGTCATCTCATGATGTGTCCAAAACACAACAACCTCAGGTGTTTTAGTCCTCTTGGCTTCCAGGGAGAGTTCTGGCTTGATTAGCTCTGACTCTCATTTATCTGTCTTTTTAGCAGTCCACAGTAGATCTGTAGATCTCTTCTCCAGCATCACATTTCATATGAGTTCATTTTCCCCCTATCAGCTTTCTCTGCCATCCACTTTTTATAACAACCACACATAGAAACTGGAAATACTATGGCATGGACGATCTTGTGTGACACTGCCAAATTTTTGATACGGGTTTTTTCTAGCTTTTCCCATCTCATTCCTTAGCTGCTGTATCCAGGGACAGCCCTAGACATTTAGCTGCCTGAGGATTTGATGATGTCTCCCTTCATTTCACATACAGAAGATAATTAGACTGGAAGTGGTTTTTGCACTGGTGACATGAGTTTTGTTCTTTGGGTGGGGGAATATCATCTTTCTTTATACACATGGTTTGTGTAGGGCAGGGGTAGGCAACCTTTCCCCTTTAAGGGCCAAGGGATTTCAGCTCCCAGAATCCCAGGAGCTATTGACCAACATGGGACTATTGGCCAACATGGCTGAGGCTTCTGGGAGCTGAAGTCCCTTGGCCCTTAAAGGGGAAAGGTTGCCTACCCCTGGTGTAGGGGTTGGGGGGTGGGGAGGCTGGCTTAGAAAGAGGCCAAAAGACCCTACAGAGTTAGCTCTGTTCTCCAAGAGAGGAACAAATGGCCAGAGGGAGCTTGGGAGGCACAATTTGGGGGTTACCCTGGATGGTCATCCATTGGGAGTGCTTTGATTGTGTATTCCTGCATGGCAGGGGGTTGGATTGGATGGCCCTTGGGGTCTCTTCCAACTCCATGAGTCTGATATCACTTCCACTGCCCGGCATTTGCTACCTGAAGAGGATTGCATTTGCTCTGCAATGACCTAGGAAGGTGGGGGAAGCTTCTTCAGAAGGGACAAGCAAGTAATTTTCCATTAAAATAAAACTTTCTTTACACCGCAACCAGAAGCAGCACTCAGCAATTTGACAGATTAAGGACACTGGCTAAGGAAAAAAACAACCATATGGATCCCTTCCCTATCCCTTCTCTGAGAACTTCTTGGTTTAAGATAACACACTCAATACAAGAGAGGACTGCTTATGTCATGGAAATGAATAAAAGCAAGGAACAGGGCTGCAGAGCGAAGCCTGTAAAAAAGCTCACAAACCTTGCAAATCAATAAGGGTTGTGGGTTCTGATGTGTTTTGCCACTGATCTCAGGAGCCAGAAATTTTATGTTCTTTTAAAAATTCAATGAGTAGATGGTTATGCTCACAGACAAACTGTGCTTCTCAGTAGTTCATATGCAAAGAAATGTAATTTGGATATCATTTCCCAAGTGCTTTGAAAAGTTATTGACTAGTTTAATGCATTGGCCATTAGTCTCAAGAAATAGAACCAATCCTGGGCTCTTGCCACATTTCAGAATTATACAGTTAGACACCACTTTAACTGCCATGGCTCCATCCTATGGAATCCTGGGATTTGTAGTTTGTTGTGGCACCAGAGCACTTTGACAGAGAAGGCTAAATATCTCACAAAACTACAGATCCCAGAATCCATTGCATTGAGCCATGATGGTTAAAGTGTTATCAACCTGCATTAATTCTGCTGTATAGATGCAGCCTCAGAGTTGGAAGGGACCACAAGGGCCATCTAGTGCAACCTCTGCCATACAGGAATACATAATAATAATAAAAATACAATAAAAACCCACATTTCCAAATGCACCATACTGAAACAACAGGACTGGACCTTTGGCTAACTGCCCCAGATTAGATGCCAGGATATTCATCAGATGCAGTTATGAAAACCCTTTTAGTGTCTCAATGGTGGCCTTCTGGGCTGCCATGGACTTTGGGCTATCCACAGTACCTTCAGCAGGGGCAGATGTAGGAATGAGTAGATGGAATTTTGAATAGCATGGAGAACAATGTTAGCAGCTGCTATTTACTTTAGATCAAACTGCAGCTTAAAGGGACAACTTCAGGGATTGATTCAAAAGCTGGCAAACCT